AACGACACCCGTTTACGCCAATCGGAGGTCACTAAGATTAATGTGGAGTCGGTGTGTAACTATGCTAAGACAATGTCGGACACCGTAGTTTTCTCTGGACCCCTCCCCAATGTGACCAGTGATGACATGTATAGCCGCATGTCGTCATTCCACCGCTGGCTGTCGAGGTGGTGTCCAGCAAACGATGTGGGCTTCATTGATAACTGGAAGCCTTTTGGGGAAAACCTGGTCTGATTAGGAGAGACGGCATCCATCCCACTTTGGATGGAGCGGCTCTCTTATCTAGAAATATGGCGAAGTTTATCTCTAAAACCTGACAGTCCAGAGTTAGGACCAGGAAGCAGAGCTGCTGTCTTACACACTCCTCTGCGCTTTCTTTAGAACAGTCACCCACCCAAAACCCCATAGAGACTGTGTCTGTCCCCCGACCACCTAAATTATTTAAAGAAATAAAAACAAGAGGAGTTCAACATAAAAATCTAATAAAAATTAAAACCAACTCCTCAGTAGCACAAAATAAGAGAATGAAATGTGGACTGTTAAATATCAGGTCTCTGTCCTCTAAAGCTGTTCTAGTGAATGAATTAATATCAGATTATGATATTGATTTACTTTGTCTTACTGAGACCTGGTTGTCCCACGAGGAGTATGTTAGCCTAAATGAATCCACCCCCCAGTCATATTAATACTCACATTCCTCGAGGCACAGGCCGAGGAGGTGGAGTAGCAGCTATATATGATTCGAGCGTTTTAATGGACCCTAAACCTAAACTAAATTATAATTCATTTGAAAGCCTTGTTCTTAGTCTTTCTCACCCAAACTGGAAAACACTGCAGCCAGTTCTATTTGTTATAGTGTACCGCGCTCCTGGACCGTACTCTGATTTTATATCTGAATTTTCAGAGTTTCTATCAAGCTTAGTCCTTAAATCAGATAAAGTAATTATTGCAGGTGATTTTAATATTCATGTGGATGTTGACAATGACAGCCTTAGTAATGCATTTATATCATTAATAGACTCAATTGGCTTCTGTCAGAGTGTAAATAAACCAACTCATTGTTTTAATCACACTCTTGACCTTGTTTTATCATATGGCATTGATATTGAACATTTAATAGTGTTCCCACATAATCCTTTCCTATCTGACCATTATTTAATAACTTTTGAATTCATACTATTAGATTATAAGCCATTAGGCAAAACTTCCTACAGCAGATGTCTATCTGACAGTGCTGTAGCTAAATTTAAGGAGGAGATTCCTTCAGTGTTTAATTCAATGCCATGTCTGAATTTAACAGAGTCCTATAACAACTTTAGTCCCTCTGAAATTGATAATCTTGTCGATAGTGCTACAGGCTCACTACGATCAACATTAGACTCTATCGCTCCTATAAAAAGGAAATTATTAAAACATAGGAGACTAGCACCTTGGTATAACCACCAAACCCGCCAGTTAAAGCAAATAGCTAGGAAATCTGAAAGGAAATGGCGCTCTTCCAAATTATCAGAATATCGCTCAAATTGGCAAGATGATCTTAAGATTTATAGAAAGGCCCTCCGTAATGCCAGAGGAGCCTATTACTCAGCACTAATAGAAGAAAATAAGAACAACCCTAGGTTCCTCTTCAGCACTGTAGCCAGGCTGACAGAGAGTCACAGCTCTATCGAGCCACATATCCCCATAAACTTAAGTAGCAATGACTTCATGAGCTTCTTCTATAATAAAATTATTACTATTAGAGAAAAATTAATCACCAACTGCCATCAACAGTTATCAGTGGCTCTCCAAGTTCAGGGACTTCTGTCAATGTAAACTTAGATGTATATTTAGACTGTTTTTCTGCTATCGATCTTCATCAGTTAACTTCAATCATTTCTTCATCGAAGCCATCAACCTGTCTGTTAGACCCGATCCCAACTAGGCTGCTTAAAGAAGTTGTTCCCTTAATTGGCACTTCTTTACTGGATATGATTAATCTTTCTTTATTATCAGGATATGTACCACAGTCCTTTAAAGTAGCTGTAATTAAACCCCTTCTTAAAAAGTCTACTCTTGACCCAGGGGTTTTAGCCAACTATAGACCGATTTCTAACCTCCCGTTCCTCTCTAAGATTCTGGAGAAAGTAGTCGCCAAGAGTTGTGTGACTTTCTACATAACAATAGTTTATTTGAGGATTTTCAGTCAGGATTTAGAGTTCATCATAGCACAGAGACAGCTCTGGTTAAAGTTAATAATGACCTTCTGACTGCTTCTGACAATGGACTTGTCTCTGTACTTGTATTATTAGATCTTAGTGCTGCATTTGACACCATTGACCATGATATTCTTTTACAGAGACTTGAGCATCAAATTGGCATTAAAGGAACTGCCCTAACCTGGTTTAAGTCATACTTATCAGATCGTACTCAGTTTGTACATGTTAACGATGAATCCTCCATAAATACTAAAGTTAGTCATGGAGTTCCACAAGGTTCTGTACTTGGACCAATACTATTTACTTTATATATGCTCCCTTTAGGCAACATTATTAGGAATCACTCCATTAACTTTCACTGTTATGCAGATGATACGCAGTTATATCTATCAATCAAACCCAATGAAATTAATCAATTATCTAAATTACAAACATGTCTTAAGGACATAAAATCCTGGATGACCTGCAATTTTCTGATGTTAAACTCAGAAAAACCGAAATTCTTGTTCTTGGCCCCAAAACCTTAGAGACTCATTGTCTAAAGATATAGTCACTCTAGATGGCATTAACTTGGCCTCTAGCACCACTGTCAGGAATCTTGGAGTTATCTTTGATCAGGATTTGTCATTTAACTCCCACATAAAGCAGACCTCTAGGACTGCCTTCTTTCATTTACGTAATATTAGAAAAATTAGACACATACTATCACAGACAGATGCAGAAAAACTAATCCATGCATTTGTTACTTCAAGGCTGGATTACTGCAACTCTTTATTATCAGGTTGCCCCAATAAGTCCATTAAAACGCTCCAATTAATTCAGAACGCTGCAGCACGAGTACTGACAGGAACTAGAAAAAGAGATCACATCTCTCCTGTACTAGCTACTCTGCATTGGCTCCCTATAAAATGTAGAATTGAATTTAAAATACTCCTCCTCACCTATAAAGCTCTTCATGGTCAGGCCCCTTCATATCTTAAAGAGCTCATAGTACCCTATTACCCCACTAGAACACTACGTTCTCTGAATGCTGGGCTACTTGTGGTTCCTATAGTCTCTAAAAGTAGAACAGGAGCCAGAGCCTTCAGTTACCAAGCTCCTCTCCTGTGGAACCAGCTTCCAGTTGTGGTTCGGGAGGCAGACACCCTCACCACTTTCAAGAGTAGGCTTAAGACATTCCTCTTTGATAAAGCTTATAGTTAGGGCTGGATCAGGTGAGTCCTGAACCATCCCTTAGTTATGCTGCTATAGGCCTAGACTATCGGGGATTTCCCATGGTGCACTGAGCTACTCTCTTCTCTCTCTTTCTGCACTCATTCATGTCCCTTTAATGCATGTTACTAACTCCACTTCTTCCCCGGAGTTCTTGTGCTTTCTCGTCTCGCAGGTTCTCATGGATCCTGGTGGAGCCTCCTGCCATGGTCCTGCTTGACTGCCATTGCCAATACTGTTGTTGCTGTGCACCTGTCTGTCTGTCTGTCGTCTCTCTCTCTCTCTCTCTCTCTCTCTCTCTCTCTCTCTCTCACCCCAACTGGTCGAGACAGACGACCACCCACCTAGAGCCGGAGGATCTGTCCTAGGTTTCTGCCTTTAACAGGCAGTTTTTCCTTGCCCTTGTCGCCAAGTGCTTGCTCATGGTGGTACTGTTGGGTCTCTGTAATTAATGTTAAAGAGTTCGGTCTAGACCTGCTCTATTTGAAAAGTGTCCTGAGATAACTTCTGTTATGAATTGGCGCTATACAAATAAAATTGAATTGAATTGAATTGAATTGAATGTGAATCAGAACTAAATGAAGAATCCCTGCTGCATTCGATGGCCAAGGTTTGTTATTTTCGTTTGAGCTGTATCTGATATCGTCTATCGCTACATAGTAAGCACTCAGTAAGGTACTCTACTGTTATCTTAGGAGCAAAGAAGCACTGCATTGTGGGATTTCTAGCATAAAATAGTTGGCTTCACTGTACCACTTTACCAGCACTAATCAATGAAGACAATCATAGAATTTAAGGGACAACTTGACCATCGGACAGTGTTTTATCATAAATAACAAATAGTTTTATTCCAGCTATTCTTCTAAGAACAAGCTATGGGTAACTTTCTGAAAATATGCATTTACTGATTCTTTTGCCACTACACAAACTGTAAATGCAACACTAACAAATTATCACCGTTACAATCATCAAGTTACAGGTAACATGTTAGCGGTTACTTATTGACAAAGCGACATTATCATTCAAGTCATGTTTCTGGGCACCTGACAAATGTAAGTCTAATATTCATACTCTCCTTTTAGCTCTGTTTTTGGTCTCCACCAACTGCTGAAAGAAAGATCTAGCTATCAGGCTGCTAAATGATCACCTATGTTTACCGGCTAGTTGCAAACCTTTGTCTGTCTGCTGTTCGGTGCTGGAGAGGTAGTGTACAGCTTAGTGTATGAGGTTGATGCACTGTTGACACCAGATCATATAGTAATGTTGTGAGCCTTAAAAGTAAAATAGCTGAAATACACTAAATGTTTGAATTTAAACAAAATGCTTAAATTGCTATGGTTGGTCGCCATCGTTATTTTTTGTGTCCATCTTTGATAGAGAAGTGTTACATGAACAAACAAGTAACACATGACTATTTCAAGTATGCAAGTGTGGGAGAGGTCAAGTCAAGTCACATGAAGTACACGTCTCACTAGGTTTCACTAGCCCGGCCCAAAAAGGAAAAACCTGGCGATATGTACCACATTAAGGACTCACGGAACAACTGTTATAAGAAAATGATTGCCAGCACATGGACAATCTTAACCATACCTTCTTTCCCCAACAGGAAATCCAGGAAGTGGTATGTGTAGGACACGCCCACTTTAGTCTCCACCTGAGGCCGTCGAAGGGTGGAGTAGATATTGCCCGGGCTTCGCCTCTCTTCTGCCTTCCGCAACTTAGGAAGCCTACACCCCATATCTCTGTGATGGAGGAGAGGAGATGGGAGATGAAAAGAGAAAAACAGAGGAGGGTGTTAACAAAGACTCGAGTAGGAGACATGGAATTGATAGAGTTTCTAAATATACAGAACACATTAGCACTTCCAACAGAGTGTGTGTGATAGTCACACGCGAGTCTAAATGCTATTGGCTCATGTAAGCTCGAGCTGCCGGGAAATAATGTGTCTATATAACTCTCTCTTTCTCTCTCTCTCTCTCTCTCTCTCACCCACACACGCACACACTACAATAATACTGAAATATGAAAGTGTCAGCCATTACCTGCATGGTGGGCTGTGATATGGGCACCTCCTAATCAAATAGGGCTGATTGGGAGCGACATGTTTGATCAGAACGAATTAAAGCAGAAATGAGACTGATTTCCTGCCCTGTCAAGCAAAGTGACATGAGACTAGATAGACGAGGAGAGGAGAGGAGTTAAGAATGTTGTACTGCTAACCAATTTATATGTTGATCCAAGGGTAGCCTTCGAGCCCAAAGAAATGTGTGTAATTTTAATACTTTTTCAGATTGTGTAAAGACCAATAGATACCCTTGAGGGTATGTGAGTGGAAGCACAATTTGGAGAGAGCTTGAAATTTCTTTTTTAAATTCCTCCCCTCCTGAATGCAATTTGTTGCATAAAAAGAAAAACAATAAGATTGAACTGGCTTTTGAGGTACATGATTGGGAATTGGAAGTGGAGGGTGAAAAGAAAGGGACAAGAGAGGGGTAAAAGGACAAGAGAAAAAGGGCGTGGTCAAATATCGTCAAGCTAATCTGATGTGACAGCGTCGGCAGCCGGAAACCATCACCACAGTTACGCTTAATATCCCTGTCTGCCACGGCTTGTAAGAGCCACACGGAGAGGCGCACATCTGCATGTCTGTGTGTGCGAGTGTGTATGTGTGTGTTCATATGTCTTCCCCGAAGGCAGGTTTATATCTGTATCTCTGTATCTGTTTGGGGAGCGTGGAGAATGACACAGTAACTCCCATTGGGCCAAGTGCACGGACGTTAACTCGGCTAACGATCCTAACAGACTACATTAGGAGCCTGTTGTGTGTTTGTGTGTGTGTGTGTGTGTGTGTGTGTGTGTGTGTGTGTGTGAGAGTGTGCATGCTTGGTGACTTACAGCTTTGATTGCATGGTGTGTGCATTTCCGAAAGGTTACAAAGTTGCAAAAGGCGTCATCTTCGATACATTTTCATACCTCATCTGTCTTGAGACAGTGCGCTCTGTCGTTTTACATTTTGCAAAGAACAAGCAATTAAGAGTCATTATTCTTTCAATACAACATGTTCTTTCATAATGAGGACAAATGAGGAGAGATGGAGGGGTGGGAGAAAGAGAGAGTATATCTCATCTCCCCTCTTTACATCCTCCCACCATCCTTCTATCTCCCCTTGACCTGTCTGTTCCCATCTTAAACTCTCATACCAGCTCTTCAATGTGTCATGATTTCTACAAAATTCTGTCCCCCTTGTCTGACCCACACCATGATCACTTCTTTCTCTTTGGCCTCTGCTCTGCTTCTGTCCATCATCCTTGATTAGGACAACTCCCTTCTTTCTGTTGGCACAATGGCCTTGATTAGTCTGAAGGTAAAGCTATTCATTTTTTAGTCAATCATTCTCTCTTTTTGTGTCCATCTGATTACAAGAACTCCCAACCTTCCCAGTTTCATTATCCTGACTTTTACATCCACTTTTATTTTCTCAACTTCCTTCCAATCTACACTCCTTCAGTCCATTCCCCAAACTCTAGTCTCTCAATCTCCATCGTTATCCTTCCTGGCATTACATCATGATGTTATATTATACCCTTCCACACTGGCAGCCTACAACCCTCTCCCAATCCTCCATCCTTCTGTCCGTCCAGTCCTTCTGTCTGGTGGCTCAATGACTTTTCCCAGCCGAAGTACTCCCCTGCTGAGCTTCTTAAGTCCCATAAAACTATTACAATGTCTCCAGCCAGTCAAGTAAGCCCTGTGCTATGACTAAGTTAGAGACATGTAAATCCACTCCCAAACATTTTTCCCCCAGGGTTGTACTTTAATACACTCTGTCTGCAACAGGGACAAAGGGCAGGTTAACGTGGGAATGTTTCGCAGATTTCATCTCTAGCTAGTCAGGGAAAAGGAGGGGTCGAGAGTGAAGCGTAGGATGGAGGAGAAAGATGTCAGAAATATAATAATGATGACTGATGACTGACTTTCTGACAATGGAGATATGAAGAGAATAATATGGGGAAGGACAGACATGTCTGAAGAGTCATTTGCATTCTTCTGTCAGTGAGTCTTTTCCTTAGATCCACCCAACTTTCTTACCCTTTGTCTTGGCTTTTGTATTTTAATACAATTTCTACCCTATCCCAATTCAAATTATCTCAGTTTCTTTTAAAAAAATCATTCAAGATTCTTATTCATCTTCATGCATAATGTATTATGCAATTTGGAATAATTTGATTACTGTTTTGCAAGTGGAAGTTTGGCTCTCAAAACCTGATAGTCTAGTCTTGGGCTCGACTACCCGCCAGTCCTACTGTTTGATCCAACATCTCATCATCCTTTTCATTGTACGCTGACAATTCTTTTTCAAAACAAAAGCCTCACTTTAACAGATGAACTCTCTGTCTGTGAGGTTTAGAAACTGATATCTGTAATTGGACACAACGTAAAATGAAAAACCACGCTGGTTGTAGTACCGGAGAAACTCCAGCGCCTTAAAGACTCGAGGCCTTTTCGCTACATGTGAGACCTTTTTCTCTAACATGTTGACTTCAAACAGAATCTTTCACTTGCTCTCACACAAGCAAACAGGCAGAAAAAGGCACTGACAGCAAAAAACATCCATTAAACGGAGAAAGACAGGAGAGCGAGACAGATAAAAGAGGCGAAAACGAGAGAATGGAGTGAAGATGAAGACAGACAGGGAGCAGCAGAGGGCTTCTCATTAGAGAATCTCTTGTAACGGAGAGTTTTGAAATGACAGCGGATTTAGGCGAGAGCATAATCCGTCTGCGCTATGCCACTGCTCTGCTACCTCCCTGTGCCATTCAGAGGGGAGGGGGCGTCTGCTTTCCAAGAAGCAGTATTCATTCGCTTCAGAGGGAGAGCTACAGGCGGGCGCAGGCTTGGGAAAACTCATGGTAAATATAGATAGAACCATCGGGAAGGCTCTCCAATTGTGGCAAAGTTAAAATTCACATTTCATTCCCTCCCTACTGAACAATTCATATTATCCTTCCTATCCATTATTAAAGAAAAACCCCACTAAAAAATATATGATAAAAATATATACATATTTAAACCCACTAATCATAATCCACTACTGTGACTAGATTCAGGTAGCAACAGCTGTTCTGGTGAGATATGAGTGAGCAATAATGCAATACAAGGAAATAATGGAAAGGTGAAAGCATTACATTCGGTGTCAGGACACCTCAGGAGTTCATCATTCCAATGTTACTGCTGCATTTTGACAAAAGATATAACAGAAAGCTTTGCTATAGTCATCTAATGTTTAAAGGTTATTTAAAGTAAGGGTAAGTAAAGTTACTTTCACCCTTGATTTAACTGGTAACTTAGCCTGAAGTGTTAGTGCTGCTGCTACAGTTACATTCAGCTGACTAATACTTTGACCACTATTACGAATAATGACCAAAGAAACTATGACAATGAAGTGTACGGCATATGGCTGAATGTTTGAGTTTGTTGTCTCTGTACTGCAATTTGTACAATGTTATTTATCGGCCACTATATGCGCTGACACTGGTGTATAACTTAACGTTTAACGGACCAACTCGTTGAAGAGAGACACTGTGGATTTTGGATATTTTACCATTTCAGGGTCTTGAGTGAGTTGTTACCAGAAGGCCCAGAATTTATAGCACCATTGTTAACCACAGCTATTGTATGCACCCTTAGGAAGAGTGTTATCTGAATGTAATATACGGTAGTTGCTAGTTGTGTGCACCTGAACCTAAACTGATTTATGGCAAGAATCAGCAAATAAAATTGGCACTGCTGGCTTCCAGTCTCCTTTATTATAGGCCTTTATGGGCCTGCTTGGAAGCATAGTTCCTTTTGTTTTTGCGAGCATGCCATCTATGCATAGAATTTTGGGCCTTTTAACAGTGTTTGTATTAACAGAATATGCATTAAATATTTTTTTATATTTGCATGTCTGACAATAACGCAGCAGTATGTCAATGAAAAATGTCGCATTATTATTAAAACCTTGTATCATATTGTATGTGGCTCACTGAATTTCCAAATTAGAGGTGACAGACTGAGTCCTGGGGAGTGGGCTTCCCTCCCACTGCTTTGGTGCCCCACTCAGTTAGTTTCTATCCAAGGATGCTGATGATGAGGAAAGGGAAGGACAGAGAAGGAGTGTGTGTGGGGGGGGAGAAGGCAACAGAGACAGACAGAAAAAGCATGAAAGACAGACAGAGAGCAGGCTGGGAGCATGTCAAGTTGCCTGGAGGGAGGTGCCATTCCCCCAAGCAACAAAGTAATCACCTCAAACAGTCTTTTAATGAGGCTGCATGGGGAGGATAAAAACAAATTATGACATTGATGTATTGGTCTGTCGCGCAGCTCCTTATAGAGCCTATCCTGCTCTAAAAAAAGAACTGTTTATGAACAAAGAAGGACTGCTTAGAGCGGGGCACCGATTCACTAAACCCTGAGGTAGGCTCTTATGGTACTTGAATCCATCACTGGACATTTTAGATTGAGGACTAAGAAATAGTGCCTACTTACACAGTATTATCCCACTGTTTGCATGGCCTGGGTGATAAACTGAATGTCACTCACGACTAATAAGAGCTTTTTTTTTTTCTCTCCAAGCTATACAGTGAGCACCCATACCATGTAACTAATTGATGCCCCCGTGGGTTATGTGGGTGCAGCCTACCTTGAAATTACATGTTTCTGTGTTTCCTTTTTCTTTCTTTTTTTTCTCCCCTTCTTTGGCGCGTTCAACCTCAACCCCTCTTCACGCGCGCACACACACGTGGCTAAGCTGATGCTGCCCGTTAACGCCGGTAGTTTAGTGAACGGGAAATGATACATGACAGGTCGCTTACGCACCAAATCTCTCTCGTTCTGAGAAACACACACACACACACACACACACACCACACACACACACACACACACACACACACACACACACACACACACTCCCCCTCTTCCATCTGCGCGCGGCACATTACTCCGTCACGCATATCTTGAGTTCACTTCAACCTGTGACAGTGAGCAGAGGGGCTTATTCATTTCGTTCCGTCACGAATACAAATGGCACACACAACAACACATAAATAAAAATAAAAAAAAGACCGACTGAACGTCTAAACCCAGAGGATTTTTCAGCGTCACAAGTGTTTTATTGTGAAAAGGCTCCCCCCCGTGACTCCTGAGGGCATTTCCGCCTCTATACGTCGATAACTCTCTTTAAAGTTTTCATTAGAGCTGTAAAATCCCATAATCCAAAGAAAGAAAAACGCACATGCCGCAATAAGAGAGAAAAAATGTTATTGGGAAATATTACATTTAGTTTTGCTCACTCAAATTACAAATAATCACCTAAATGTCAACAAAAACAAGTAGATGTGAAGCATTTTCCTGCAGAAATAAGAGTGAAACTCACCAATGAAGTCGTTCCCTGTACGTACTAAAGTGTGCGCTGGACTGAAAGCTTCCTCACACTTGAGTCTGCCGAGGTGCGTCTCTCCCTCCTCTCCGTGCTGTCTTCACTGTCTGTCCCCCGTCACGGCTCAGATAAAACTGCGATCCAAATGGGAAAGAAAACATGAATCCTCCATTTAAAAAAAAAAACCCACTACTGCCTGCTGCCTGCTGCCTGCTGCTGAATCTCACGGGCAGCTCATGATGAACACTACCTTCTTCTGTCAGCAGCGTGTGCGGAGAGGGAGGATCGCGCACAACCTCTCTCCTCCCTGTTGTCTCTCACTCGCTGCTCTCCAAGGTTGGATACCCTGAAGCACTTTGAATGAATCCTGTTGTAGGCATTGCATTGAGTAAGCTATCCCTAGTGACAGTTAAATTGCTAGGAAAGTGGATGCAAAGTACTGTACAGATAAGCTACTTGCACTGTTTCCAGATGTTTTTTTGCCCCAGTAGGGAAAGTATTAAGTTTTTGGTTCAGTGTGGATGTGGGTCTCCCCCCCATCACGGTTATCAAGGTTAGAGGTGTTTGTTTTTCAAGGGTCTCCTTTGGAAAATGTATATTTCATAAGAAGCTATCCAGACTTATTCATAATTCAGAAACGTCTGACTGGGTGGGGCTGGTGGGTGGTCGCAGGGCTGGACAGGACACCCTGGGGAGCCCAGTCACACCACCAGACTGTGACAAAAACAAAATGCTCTGTGACCAAGACATGATGGGCTTGTTGCCAGGGAAGACCGGCAATCTAACCCTGAATGGAAACCAGAAAGCAGCCACTGACAGGCTTACGGAGGCTGGGAGAAGCACAGGTGGACACAGAGAGCTCCAACATCGTCACCTGCTAATCTAAAGAGGGAAATTATCAAATAAATATCCCTTACAAAAATGCATGTCTACTGTAAAGGATGCAACCCCCCCCCAAAACTGTAGACCTTCACAAGTTTAAATGATAACATATTTCAACTTTTATTTATTTATTTTTCCAAACAAAAAAATTCAAACCCAGCAAAACACGAACACTTAACAATAAGCCAAACATAACAGTGTGCTGCCCAGGCTCTCTGAACAAAAACAATTCTATTAATACAATCTGCACACAGGAGACGCTGAGGTCAATGCCCAAATGAAGCTATACAGAACTCGGGCAAAGGGAAAGAAAACCTGTGATGTACACCATATACCAAATGTGCATCTCAAATCACACAAAGCTGCTCTTTAAGTGTATAAAGTTAAAGAAAGACAAATGAAATGCACTTACTGAAATGTATATATAAAAGAATCATTGTTCACTCTGTCACTGTCAGTAAAATGCTTCGTGCAAGACCCACTGCTATTAGATTAAAACCCAAAATGCTCAGAACCAACCAGTATAAAGTGAACCATGTACAGTGAATGTTTTTTCCCCAAAGAAACTGACAGCACATTACTTTCAATCATGTCCTTCATTTTCAAAGTGGATTAAAACGGCTTTCCACTTTTATTTTTTCCCAAATATAAGTTGATTGATGAGTAATGAGGAAAACAAAATTGATGCCGTGATTGGTCCTTGAGTATGAACCCCTGGAAGCGTTTGATAAAACACCAGTCACAGGATGGGACAGTTTGTAAATGCAACACACAAGATGATCAGCGTGACACATGCTCTGAGGAACTCTGGCATTTGACCAAGATGAGAAATCAGTGATACTGATGAGACGCTATAAAGTGGCAAAATTGCCATTCACTTGCTGCCTCAATCGACACCCAATTAAATAGAACACAAAATAAACTTGAGTGCTTGAAATTAATGGAATGACCAAGTGCCCGTATACTGTAGTAGACAAGTTAATGAAATTTCTTAATCTGAGGCACATTAGACCTGACTTGGAGTTAAAGAAGCATTCTACTCCAATGCTGACACAACCAGATTGCAAAACATTGTTACAATATATATATATAAATGTACCTTTTTATGTACGGAGAGCCCTTGCAGAAGCTAAAAAAAGCCCCAACCAAACAAACATTTAAAATAATTCCAAAAATAAATAATAAAATAATAAAAATATAAATAGTCACAAAGGGTGAGCTTAAAAGTCTTTTTTGTTTGGGAAAATTAACAAAGGAAAACAAAGCAACAAAAAAAAAATGTGAGCCCATATATCAGCTGGTACGGTGAGGGTGCTCTGCTCTTCATGTGTGACTGTTACTGTGATCCACGTGGGGTTAAAAGCGTTTGACCACGCGACTGTGGTCCAAGTGACTGTGATCAAACTGGTACAGTTTAAGTGGAGAGAGCTCCTGCAGTCTGGTGTTAAAATGGGTCTCAAAAGTTGAGGGAAGGAAAGGAGAGGGGAGGGCTTTCTGGAAACAGTGCGAGGGAGTTGGGTTGCTTCTAGCCGTCCGTAACATCAAGATGTGATCCTGTCTGCATTTTGACTCACTGTAGCTTGTATCTATTGGAACAGAGGACAGAAAAGCACATCACAAGCAATCAATTACACACCCAATCAGGATTAGACAGTTTAAGAGCTGTGTCTGTCAGATAAAATCAAACAAATTCCTGAGGTTTACTGTGTGTTTGTGTAACTGTAGTTAAGACTCAGAAGAAGGAACACTTCAGAGAATTAATGGACTAGTGCTGGGCATGACTGCAGAACATCGTGGTTGAAGGAGGGAAAAAAGTGATTGTGAAACAGCTAAACAGGGCTGGGCAATGGAGGGCTAACAGTATGCAGGTTTTTCCTCTAACCAAACACTAAACCATAAAGTATTTACCCTGCTCAACCACCTCCTCCTTGAGAAAAGGCGTGCACGCCGGCAGGCTAATGGCCCTCCATGGCCATTATTACATAGTGTATCCCTGGTATGACAGCTCTTTGTGTGGAGTAGTTTTACCTGGCAAGGGGCTCAGTAGCTCTGGACTACAGCACAGTCAGCATAGTCTGGACTCCACAGTCCACAAAGTTCTGGAAACAGAGTATAAGATCACAAAAAGCTTTAAGAAAAATAAATAACTGCTATAAAAACAGTCCCCGCCGTACATTGGGTATTGTAAGAATTAATTGTTAATGCACAGTCCATTCTTCAGTGTGTCAACACTGGCCAGACGACACCATCTAGTGGCCTGCATGAACATTGCAGTTTGTGATCTTTTGTAGCCACAGACACAACAGAAATACGTTTTCAAAAATCACTTGGAAACATTACCTTTTTAATTTATCAACCAATTAGAAACACAGACATTCATAAACAAATAAAACATTCAACATAATCCAGTGGCTTTTTTCCATCAATGTTTTCATCCAACTGGCCTTGTGAGGTTCTCAAATGAGAAGTCATTTGGGTTGAAACTGAAATGCACTGACATCTACTCATATTCCCACTAAATGCAGAGTCACCTGATTGACAGGCCGTGTCCTCTGGTCCGCCATCCATTGAGGTGGAGTGTACTGCATGTGTTGGGGGGGGAAGAGGGGTCAGTGGTCAAACAGAGGGCAACAAACAAACCCTGACTCGCCTCTACAGGAGATAGGGGTGGGGTAGCATGGGACGGGGTGGAATGGGGTGGGATGGGATGTGGTTTGGTGGGGCATAGGCAGGCACAGGTGGATCTAAACCAGACTGAATCATTTATCTCATAAGCAGGAGCATATGTGCAGTGCCTCAGAGCCCCAGCATGGGATGCTGTTGACTAATTGGTGTGCGTGTGTGTGCGCGTGCGTGTACCTGGTAGGCATAAGCGTTCTGTGCATAGTTCATTGGCATCTGTGGGATCACGACCCCTCCAAAGTTGGAGTAGGAGTACGGCTGCAAAAAGAGCCAGAAGGAACACTTTAACCCACAGGCTGGAGATAGCAAACATACTAAGCAGATGTTACATTATAAAAAAAATATTACAGCATTAAGTAACTTTGGTTCTCATGTTAGCGTCCTTGCAAGGATTGTACGAACTGTTAATGTTTATGACAGTTGGTATTGTCTGAATAATTCACCAATTTGGATATTATTAGCAATGTCATTAATAATGCCATTAATAGTGCCACAGCCAACTTTTTTTTTTTTTTTAAATATCCTTTCTGGCAAATGGAAAAGTAAATTGATAGATTGTTCTCCACCATGCACCTCTATTCTTGGCTGAGATAATGAGCAAACTTCCCCTCAGAGAAAATAAGGTTCATTTTATTTTACAGAGTGTAACTGAGAATAGAAAGGTGTGTGACGGCATTATTAATGCCACACGCAGAGTGTTTATTCAGCTAGACACCTTAGTTTTTTTTTTATAATTCAATCTGCTTGCCTTCTAAGATTAGATTCTGACAGCTTGTCTATACCTGATTGTAGGGGCTGCCTCCGCTGAGGATGGGTGAAGGTTGTGCCATACCGCCTCCCATGGGTGAGCAGCAAGCGCAGTAGAAGTACTGAGTGGGGCTCATCCATGGAGCTGGGCCAACCAGACGGGATGGCATGGACCCTACATTAAGAAAAAAATGTCACTGCAGTATAAGTCTAAGTTTAGTGGCAAGATCTTTTAACGTATTTGCACTGCTAACTAAATATGCAAAAAAGTTCTTCTGATGTAGTATATCAGAATACATACGAGAGCTCCTTTCTTTCATGATGGCAGGGCCCAGCTTGAGTTTCCGGCCCTTAAAACTTATCTGTTGCTATGGCAAAAAATATGAACAGAGGAAATATTACTCCCAGATGGAGATGAGAAATAACAGAACACCAGTTCCACACACAGACATCCACTCACCTCGATGATTGACTGAATGTTGACATCTTCATTGAAGTACACAAACCCATAGCTAGGAACACACAAAACAACTCTATAAAATACACACTGACTCAATAACACTAGCCAATACAAAATAAGAAGAAAAAACAAGCTTTTGATTATTCATAAAACTGAGATGCAAATAAACAATCCCTGAGTTTACACCCACACATTTTCACACAGGTTCAAACAAACTCTTTAAGGAGGAAAATGAATGCCTCAGAACAATTAATGTATTCATGTATCTTTAAAGGTCACATGACTGCAGTACAATAATACACAAGTGCATAGCTGTTCATTTCTGTGGTCTCCTTCCTTACTTGGAAAACAAGACATAACCATATACTGGAAATTTACAAATGTGTAAAAAGATGTTAAACATTTAACACCAGCAAACAGAGTCAATAAAAAACTTTAGCACCTACTTACCCTTTGCAGATCCCTCCACGGTACGTGATAATTTTCACTTCCTTAACAGCGCCATATCTGGCAAAGAAGTCCCGCATTTCATTTTCATCCACCTGAAGGTTGAAATGAATTTAAATTGAAGAACTGGATTTTAGTTGCTATCCTTGACCATCTTTTCTCCATTATGTACTGTAGAAGAAAAGAAAAGCAGTGCACTTGTGCACAATGTGCAGCTCAAGTACACTAAAACAGTGGTTTTTCAACCTTTTCCAGTGGGAACTAATTTGTGTATATTGTCTAATGTGCAGATATAATCTTATTCCCAAGGTTCCCCTCACTTAAGGGTTAGGGTATCATCAATCATCACCAAACATTCAAATGCTCTATGGCATTGGAAATTCAATTTACAGTAGAATAATATTTTCAAATGAAAACATTTTTATTCCTATAAATGTGTGGGCAGCAAGCAGGTAGGAAGGCTATTATACTCAGAGATATGCTTGACCGAAGTCAGTTACCCACTGGTGGGTAAACAAAAATTTTGACAACACACTGACGCCCATACAATTTCTTGTCTGCCTAATTAGGAGTGAGCTATTCCAGATTTATAGTTTAACACTCAAAAGAAGCCCAGAACTGGGGCTGGAATCAGCCAATCGTAGCCTGTGGTAGAAGCTGAACTGTGGACACTAATTATAGTAATGTAGTGTATCGAAAAAGTAAAATGGGTTTTTTTTCAGTGCACATATTTCTCTGTCATTTACTGGTAATTTTGGTGTGTGCATTTAGATGAAGATGCAATTGTGATTCCTATCACTTATTTTCACACATGCCTCAAGTATGATCCAATTAGATTTGATCTTACCTTCATGTCAATCCCACCAACAAAGAGGGCATTAGGAGTCAATTTGCCCTCAGGTAGAATGTAGCCATTTGACAACTTCAGGGAGGGTGAAGTGTGGTTGCCATTCCTGGGCTTGTGGATATCCTTAAAATAAAACAATTGAATATTTAGTTACATGATCGGAATTAATCACGAACGTGTAAAATAATACTATTTCTCTGGGCCAACACTTCATGAATATTCAATGGTCAAGTACAAGTAATCTACTAACATAAGTTCATGAGACTGATTGGTGTGTGTTTTGACTTTGCTAACTGGAGCTGCTTCCACGCGATAACCATGAAATTCGGTTGATAATATTACAGATAAAAGCAAATTAAGATAGCTAACTTGTGTATTTCAAGCGTTATAATTATCACTACAGCTCCAGATCTGACAACACAGGAAAATAGTGTTGGGTTTTTTTCTTTCTTTTTCAAACGTTTATGTGGTTAAAGTTAACCCTAACACGCAATTCCGGCACAAAAAAATATAAAAAAAGCGATATAACGTTAATAGTGGCATGATTGTTAAACGTTACCTGGACTAACTCCACTTCAACTAGCAAACACTGATCCGTTCAACATTGGAGCAGATACAAAGTTAATAAAATGACATCGACAAAAAAAAGTCAGCGGTAATAAGTTATCGTTAATATTAGTTATTAATAATGTAATGTTAAATACAAGTTAAGGGTGTTAGCCGCAGCAAATGCTAGCTAGAAGCGGCTAGTGCGCCTTTTTCAAAGCGAAGGTCGCTAATTACGCAGCTAGCTAGCCAGCTAACGTTTAAGTTAGCACATTGGTTAGTTAGCTTAGCATATTGATTAATGAGCCAACAAATGCTTTCAGTTACACGAGGCGATTGCATGGCTGAACTTCTAACAGTGAATCTTTGTGCACATAAACTTGTCACTGAAACTTACCATATCTAAAATAATTAAAACGAATAAATTAGCCAAACGAAAAAACAAACCGCGGCGCTTCTTCTGCCCGACAACAACCAGCTCACATCAGCCCAAACCACGCCCAGTTCACATGACTAATCTGACGTCCTATCAAATGTTTCATAAGTTATAAAAACTGCAATTAACCTCTGTTCTTTTTTTAGTTACAGAATTAAATGCAAATCAATCACGAAGAGCTGTCATAGAGAAGTTTTGCAACACAATTTGCTGCACAATTCCTTCTCAACTTTCCTGGCTGACCTTTTAATCAGACCACACAGTAATGTAACTTACTGCTGTTGATAGATCACCATATAAAAGCTCGTAGACATAGAGTGGAATTTGATTATTTTTTAAGACTGACATGTTATCTTAATATATGAGATCACAATCTCATTTAAGGAATGCTCTTGTATCTTCCTACAGATAGCTTTGTGATTGTGGTTTTAAACATAAATAAAAAGGCACATAAATTGTTCAGCTTGTTGCTGAAAAATGGTAACATTCAATTTAGTTAAATTAATTCATCTAATTAACTATAAAGTGACCAAAATAAATGTTGAAATTAAGAGGTTCTTGGGTATTTATTGAAATTCTCAAGATACAGTGAGAGTTTCTTCAGCCGTATACATAAACAACTTAAGCTTAACTTTGGCTCTGGCCTTAGTCCTGATCTTAACCCTAGTGATGATATTCAGAAATATTTTTTCATGCTTGAAAAGAAAGCTTAGATTGAAAAAAAAAATGTGTGTATGCTATTTTTGAAATGTATACATTTATTTATATATGTATTGATAAAAATTGTGTAGTATGCAGTTATATCTTTAATTTTGTCATAATATTCATAGTAACTTAGGTGACAATTCATTTAGTAATGAAAGCATACTAATACTACATTTCCCCCTATATAAATGTACATTAGGAGATGGTTGAACACCTGCACAGCACGGTCTGAAGGGGCAGGTTCAGAGGGAGGGGCAGAGTGGCCACCAGCAGAGGGCAGAGTGCAGCTGCTGGATGGTGACGCCTCCAGGTAAACCTACGACGACACATCGACTCAACCCTGAGCTGTGTTCTCTTTTAAACATTGTAATGGCATTATTAAAAAAAAGTAAATGTAGTTGTATCACAATAGTAGTAGTGCTGGTATTTTCGGCTGTGTTACATACATACATGTGTACCCGGTCAGACCTGTATCAGGAAACAAGTGCACGGGGCGCCGCCCACCTCATAGCGGAGCTCTCTGACAGTAACAAGGTGGTTGGTGTTGCCATGGAGACGTTCCAGGATGAGATCAACAGTGTTTCAGTTTACAGCAACGTGATGGTTTTTTCTTAGTCAAAGCACTGACAGGGCAAAACTTAACTGCCAGCAGCGTTAAATAGTTCTGTCATTGGTACAACACAAGCGGCAGGTAAATACTTTCAAACCTCCAAGCTTTTAAGCTAATGTCACTTATCAGCAATTAATGAAACCCTACCGGCATGACGTTACAGAGCGACCCATAGAAGGTAACTGACATTAACGGCAACTGTGTTTTTCAGTGTTTTCTACTCTTTAACGGTTAACGTTAGGTTATACTGATAATAATAGACATTTCTCATTTCATTCATACATTGTAAGTTATTTTTATGTTTATTTTTTTCTTTCTGTCACTGGCAGAAAAGCTGAACAACATGGAACGGCTGAAGCAGGTAATGAAAGCTAATGTCTATACCTAGCTAACGTTAGCTAACGATAGGTTAATGGTTGACTCTTCCTCTTATCTGTTTCATCGTGAAATCCTTCCCTTTAGCTAAATACTTACAGTATTATAGACTTGTTTAGCTATATCCTAATTGATATCGTCGTAAAGATAGTTAGGTTAGGTTTGCAATTTAAAATTTCCAAATTAAATTTGCAGTTTGACACTGAACAACTTTAAAAGAAAAGGCATGGGTGTAGTTAAGTACTGTAATGAAAAAATACAGTGAGTCTTTATAGGGCATTTAACTGCATCTTTAACCGCATCAATAAGGGTTGAATAAAAACAAAAAAGTTAAGAGATCATGTAATTAATGTAAAATGCAAGTAAAAGTCATAGTTGTGTTTCAACCTTCACTATTTTTGTCTGAACTACAGATGGAGGATGACTCTATCTGCAATATGAGTCAGAGCAGAGGATATTCTGTTCCCCCACCTTTGCCCATGACTTGTAATGCAGAACCCTCAGAACTGTATCAAGTAAGAACATCAATTGCTGTATGATATAAACTTTGCTCAGATACTTGCCAAGTTAAACACACTAAGCTCTGCGCTACCATACTCCATATTAACATTCAAGCTGTTATTTTATTTCAGATAGTCTTGAGGCACAGTCATTACCCACCCATACTTCAGACCAATTCTTGGACTCTAGCAGCTCCCTTTAAAGAGCAACATCTCCACCGTTCGCCCACTGAGTCTATTGGAAACAACTACAGTCCCTGGGCACAGGGCCTTAAAATTACTGAACTCCAGCACAGACGACACACTTTCCGCCAATCCTTGGCAAAACCAGCAGGGCCTTGTATCCTTTCAATTTCCTCTTGTATCAATCCCTGGTCTGTGTGTCTAAGGGAAGCCCACATAAAAGTATATGTTATTGCAATCTTCTTTACTTTGTTATCTGATGATAATTTAGAATGTAAACACTTAAGACTGGAAACTTCTCAGAATGGATTTTTGATCTTAATGAGGCTTTTAGCATCTACCTCACCTGGAAGGGGACGAGCAGTTTCACCGCAGAGAAGGTAATTATGCCCTTAAAGCAACACATATCAGCTATAGCTTATCTTTTATGAAGCATTTGATCTCATCAGTTCATGCTTTCACAGGGATAGATCTTCTCATGCTTCACTCTCACCTCGACCAAAGCCAAGATCGAGAAACTTTTACACTCCCAGTAGCCGGCCTATGAGTCCTAATGAGCAGCTGGACGTCATGTACAGCCAAGAGGAGGAAATTAGGGTCACGCAGCGAGAACCTAATGAGAAAGACCTAGAAGCAAGTATCAATTAATTCAAAAATGAACCAGTCAGTTGTTGATTAGAATGTTTTGAGTGACATTTTTCTCACACTGTTGATCTTAACTTTTCTTACACAGAGGTATATGTACTACATCTGCACTGGTGTCCCCAGCTCTGTGCTAGCCCCCCAGCCAGACCAGCAGATGATGAACATCATGTGCCTGCTGCCTCCTGACACTGAAAATAGTAGTAAACAACTCCTGATTATGAGGGCAAACCTTGAAGAGGAGGTCGAGAGAGATTATTACTTCAGCCTCAAGAAGAGCATAGGTATAAAACCATGAGATTTAATATTAGTATTGCTTTATTTAGACATGTGACAGTAACACAATCCTTTCTTTATACGTGTTTCCATCTATATCTGCAAGCACATTTTGTTGCATCATTAAACACAAAAAACAGATTATTTTACATGTATGACCATATGGGTTTGACCAGCCAGTCACTGTAGTTGGTGGCTTAGTTAACTACTATTTTCCTCTGTGATGCCTCCCTTTCCTTGAAATGTACATTCTGTCAATCTGTTCAATCTGTTTTGTCTTCCATGTTGTTCTTTGACAGTGGACTACATTCTGATGGATCCATCTGAGCGCCAGCGACTGTCCATATCCAGCATCCCCAAGCCCTTTCCCAGGAGGGTGATCCGTGCACCAGTGCCCTGGGCAACAAGTTACAAGGAGGCCCACAAGTGGCAAAGCCAACATTTGTTTACTGTTAGTCCAATCATGGTCCTTCTGCAGGATGTCTGGCTAAACAGGTAATACAGAAGTGTACTGGTCTACTGGGTTGGATTATATTTAATTATTTATAGAATTGGTTCCAGCACTCACTGCAATCTAAAACTTTTCATTTAATTTTAATTTCTTCAAAATTAATTAAGTCATTCATCCATATCCGACTAGACAGTCTGAACATTTTCTTCTTCCTTTATGTTACAGTAATGTGGCTGTATTTTACTTTAGATACAGAAGTGCTGTTTTGTGGAATTCATCATTAATCATTTTTATATCTTAAACCATCTGAAAAAACATTAATAACTTCCTGATTACAGTGTTGACTGTTGGACATCTGGAGTTATGTATGTGGTTTTTTTTCCTGGTCTCCTCTTCTCTTTTATTTATTTTGTGGTAATCTTTTTATTCCTTATTATTTTCTTCAGTGTAATTCTGTTTATCTTGCATTGAGGGGTCTTTCTTACCTCTCCTGCACAAGCTCTTGTTTACACTGGATTTGGATTTGGATGTGTTTATTTTCAACAAATAAAATGTAAGTAAAATCTTGTTTCAGCTTCTCATCCTTGAGATTTGTTCGACTGGAAGACCTTTTCTCCACCAGTCTCCCCCTCCTGCCATCTGAGTTTGAGGAGTTTGTCCAGAGACAGTGCCAAACCACAAGAGATGAGCTACTCCAAAAGTGAGTATTGCCATTTTGCCAGACTATCTCCAAACAGCCAGTCTGTCAGTGAGAACATAAGGTGATGTTCAGAGTTAATCATTGTAGTGTTTCTTTTCAATGGCTTCTATAGAATGTACACAACCAAGAGAGCTAATCCTGTTGTAGGTGCAGTCTCATGTTTCCATCTTGTCCACTTTGTCAGACCCATGTCAGGCTACCTTTCAGGGGATTGCTTTACACACTGTCTCACTTTAGGTCTCCATAGAATCTTTTGTAGCATGCCTGTTGTATGGCGTGTTAGACCACGTAGCAACCCTGTATGGTGTCTGGCTGCAGGACTGAAATATGAGCCACTGTAATTAGTAGAAACTGTCTGCTGTTTGTTTATTTTCATGTTTGTAATTTGCACCCGCTTGGATACCATTATTCTCAGTTACGGTGTCTCAGTTTCCCATGCCAGCCATACTCGATCCAGAGGACATTATGTGTCTCTATGGGGCTGTGTGAATGTCAATAAGAACCAGAGAGTACATATTTCATATTGAGGATATAATATTGCAGTAACTAGTATGGTCAGTAGAGATTTAATTCAATAAACATTTTGTAGAATTTGAAACAGAAAA